ACATTTAATTTTTTTTTGGAAAGGGACAATATTTACTCATTTATTAACTTTTTATTTTATATTGGGATATAACCAATTAACAATGTTGTGATAGTTTCAGGTGAACAGCGAAGGGACTCAGCCATACATATACATATTAATTTTGAGGTGGGAGGGTGACATGACACAGCCCTGTCTTCAAAATTGAACCTATGTTTTAAAATGTTTATTTTGCTGAAAACAATTGCAAATTGCCACAGGCAAGTTCTAACTTAACTGCAATCTGGAACCCATGGATATAGTGTAAACACATGCAGATTTCTAACAAACTACTGTGTGTGTTGGGGATAATGACAACATGGTCTCCAAATAGTATTACCCTTACTTTAAAAGTCAATCATCTCTTGACCTCTCGCTTCAGGACCCACATTTGTTGACACTGAATATCTAGGGGCTGGGGCCTGATACATCCTGGTTTAACAAGCTCTACTCAGGATTTTCCAGTGCTAAAGTTTGAAATCTATTGCTCTAATCTTTTCCAGCAGTAAAATTCTGGTTCTGTCTCTGTATTCAAGTATGTTTCAGGCTTATAAATAAATCATTTATATCAACTAGTTCTAAGGATTTGCTAACTTGATAAGCAACAAGATTGAGCCATGTAATGTTGTGACTTCAGTTTAGGGGAAAAAAGGGGAGAACTGGTTATAGATAGTCTGTGGCAAAGAAAGATATGGATACCATACTCAGAAAGTCACCAGTGACCCAAATATATTTGCTTGGTCTAGCCTTTTCTCCATCAAAATTATCAGAGCTATTTCCAAGCAGCCTACAAATAGCAAAGTCAACTGACCTTATTTCATTTGCTTTCTGTTTCTTTGCCTACTCTGCATCAGTGTCATGTCAGAAAACTGGAAAGGATCTCGATAACCCATAACCTGAGCAAAGAGACCCTGAATACTAAGGGTCATTAGATCTATTGCCAGAAAAATTCTAGTGTAGCCCTGCCTATAACACGTAACAGCTATGTGAGCAATCTCTTATAAAGCCAGTAGGGGGAGGCACGCACAAGCTTATGCTTTGCTCTTTGATCCACAGGACTTTAAATCTTATAGTAATGAATGGTTTGGGTTTGTTCATTTGTTTTAAACTGAGGGGATCAAAGGGAATGCAAAAAACAGGGCAAAGAAGACTGTTGAGGTGAATTTATAAAAAAAGAATGATACAAAAGAACCATTTTATATTTCTATTTTGTCTCTAGCCCTTCTGAGAAATTACTAAGTTATTTTAACTGTGAATTTATAATCTACTTCCAGATCCCCAGGGCTAATAGAACAATTCTAAATTGAGAAACAGATCCTTTAAAAATTCATGTTTGATCAAGGAAAGCAACATTAACTGAATATGACATGATACTAAGGAGTTGTTGATTCTGACAGATATGATAATAGTATTTTATACATACACAGAGACACACACACAGAGTCTTTATCTATAAATACAAACAGAGTATTTATAGGTGAAATGATAGTTAAAAAAAAACAACAGTAAAGGATAGACAGAATAAGAATGGCAAAATATTGATAACTACTGAAGCTCAGTGACAGGCATATAGAGGTTCCTTATATTATTTCCTTTCCATTTGAAAACTTCCAAAATAAAAGGTTAAAAACTAGGAAGCTATGTTCTAGCTATTTGGGTTAACAGTGAGATTATGTGGCTGGTAACTATGTAACTTCAATGAGGTCTTGTTCTTGATATATAGCCATCTAATCACAACTGAATCACACAAAATTTAGCCATATAAAATCCCATATAATTCAACATTGTGAAACTAAAACTAACCTGTTAAATTCACTGGAAACAATACTTTATCATTGTAGAGCAAGTCACCACCTTTTAAGGTGAATGAACACTGATCTCTCATCTAGTTTTCATAATCTTATGAAGATTTTAAAGTTAAAAGACTTGGTAAAAGTCACAGAATTAGTAAAAATGATGGAGGTAGGATACTAACCCAAGTTTTATGACACCAAGGACCATCTTCTCTGTACTATACTGTTGCTTAGACCCCTTTGAAACAAATAGCAAATGTGAAATTTAGGTGAATTTTACAATTTTGCTTTCTGTGCTTGCTACTTTATAGTATATGGCAAAATCTGTTGTCTAGTTTTCTTAATGAATAAAAAAGTATGGACAGAAACAAATTTCTTGAATAAAGAATAAAATAAAAAGAATTATAATATGTTAAAATTGGAAGGGACGTTAAAGCCCCTCTGTAGTCCAAAATTAAAACCTTTTCTTCAGGACACCTGGATGGATACAGGTTTAGCTTGAGCATTTCTAGTGAGGAATGGCAGACTCAGTGAAATAGCCACTTCATTCATGCAAATAGTCTAATCATCAAAGAGGGCTCCCTTGCTTACAGGTGAAATCTACCTGCCACCTATTGATTCTAGTTACAGTTCCTCACCCTACACTGAATAAACACAGAATCCTCTTACACTTGATGATCTTTCAAAGCACTAAAGACATCCATTATGATCCACTATGGGCTTATGATCTGGGGACTCTTTTAGCAGTAAAAGAAAAATGAATAGATTCCTGGGTAACTAAATTTTCCTAGTCTTTTCAATAGCTCTTCCAGGCCAAGTGGTCCTCAAAGTGGGACTTAGGTATTTCTGGGAGTACTCAAACCCTTTTCAGGGGACACATATATCAGGATATTTTTAAGGCATTTAAGCCATAGCTACATTTGCCATGATTGGGTCTGTCTGAAAACAAGCCTGTGGTCTGCTGATTTTCCTTTTGTAGCTCCACTCAGAAGAACCCATCTCAAAGACCAACCACTCGTCCGGGCTGAAAAGCCTGCCTAACTTCAAAGAGACAACTGGGGAATGCAAAGCTTGTGATCTGTGAAAGCAAAACAGCTTTGGAAAGGACGGGGAGAGCCACCTTATTTCATCCAGACAATATATTCACGGCAAAGCCTTGTCTAATTTAGAATTAGACATCAATTGTAAAATGACTGTCACGGTGATGTCTATCAACACTTTAATTTTATTTGAAAAATGAAGTCTGATTTGTTTTTCTGAGAGAAAGTGAGCCTGATTTGGCTGATGAGTTTGATGATGATGTCTAGCTCTGTCATTTAGGTCACAGAGCGGACATTTTCCATACACTGAATGAGCTAAAGGTATAGTGCTAGAGTTTTGAAGAGAACGCATTTTTAAAAACATGCAAATGACTAAAAATTGCATCCTCACAATAAGTTTTTAACAACTGAAAGCTATGTCTGGAAGCATATAGTTTTCAAACATCTTTTAGCAGGTTTGCCAACAAAAACTTTGCAGGCTATGATGGAATTTCTAGGCTCTTTCCCACTCAGGCGATCCCATTCTGGAAGCATGCCAGTTTCTTACTTATTAGGAACACTCTAGGGAGAATGGGCAATATACTGATATAACACGCTGGGGCTGGGGCTTGGTTCTGCACACCACACACTTCTACTTAATGTACCCAAAGGTTCCATCCAGGGCTTTTAAAGCTGTTGCAACAACTAACTAAACTGCTGACATCTTTTTCACATAAGCATTTACACCTAAATTCACAGTGATCTTGCACTTATATATGTGAATGAATGAGTTTATATTAATTGGTCTTAAATTTCACCTTCTTTGTTTTAGATCCTTTGCTACGACCTTGTAAAATAGTTTAAAATTTGGTTTAGATATTCACTTTATTAGCTAGCCCCCTGGAGAGGGCAGCTTCTGACAAAGCTTCCAGTGATCACCACCTCCAGGTCTTCACAACCTGACGTAATCCTCTCCTGTTGGGTGTGGACAGGATCTAGTGAGTTATTTCTAACTAATAGAATATGGCAGAAGTGATGGTGTGTGATTTCAGAGAGCAAGTTACAAGACTGATTTCTGTCTGCTTCCTACTGTTGTGGTCTTGCTTGCTGACCGACCCTGATGAAGCCAGCTGTCATGGAGCTGCTCTAGGGAGAAACCCAGTGACAAGGAAACTAGGGAGGCCTTGGGCCAACAGCTCATGAGAAACTTGGGCCCTCAGTCTGATAGCGTGCTTCCAACAACCATGTGAGTGAGCTTGGAGGCAGAGCCATCCCCAACAGAGCCTTAAAGTGACTTTGGCCCTGGAAAATGCCTGGATTACCACCTTGTGAGAGACCCTAATCAAAGTCACTGATTAAAATTTTGAATAGTATGTCACCCCATAAAGCTTGATACAGTCTCTTTGGACACAATCATCCAATCAGCTATGAAACTACCCAATTATACTACCCTGAGGCCACGTTTCTCCACCTTACCAACAAAATTTTTGTGAGAATCATGTTGAGTGGCTTCCTCAAATCAAGACTTACTGTTATCTACAGAATATTCCTTGCCAATATGGTGATTGCATTAAAAGAGGAAATCTGTTAGTATTTGTTTTTAGGTGCTTAGAGAGGCTTGCTCGGGGCTTCCCTCATGGCTTAGCTGGTAAAGAATCTGCTTGCAATGCAGGAGACCTGGGTTCGAACCCTGGGTCAGGAAGATCCCCTGGAGAAGGAAATGGCAACCCAGTCCAGTATTCTAATGCCTGGAGAATCCCATGGACAGAGGAGCCTGGCAGGTTACAGTCCATGAGGTCGCAAAGAACTGGACATGACTGAGCTACTTAACCACCATAGAGAGGCTTGCGACATGGAGGCCTCTACTCTCAACCAAACCCTTTTCACTAAGATTCCTGTAGTCAGAATTGTATCTTTTGGGACCTCCTATTCTTCTGAACTCTATCTCCTCCGCTGTCCACTTCTCTAAAGTATGCTAAAAATGTGAGGGTAACCAAACATGCCCTTAGCCACTGTGAACCTTACAGGGAGAGGTTCCTTTTATTCTTATTACTTCAGGTCATTCTGAACAGATGTGTTCACAACTATTTTGAAATTTTAGAAGTGTCAGCATTATCTAAGATGAACATTGTCTAAAGCTTACGCTTAAGAAAGTAAAATGCACACTCACAATTCAAAAACCATGTAAAGCATTCCATCTGAGCTATATGTCTCCAATAATTCTACAATGTGGGGATGTTTCAGCATATGACAGATACTGGCTTCCCGCTTTAGATCTGAAAAACAAACACAGAACACCTTGTTAGGCAGAATTCAAAAGACAATTTGAGTGAATGATGAATGAATGGATGGGATCTATGGTAACATGAAGACTTCTCTAACTATAGAGATGAAATCCCCCATTCAAACAAAGTTTAACTTTTTGCCCTTTGACATCTTTGACAATATAACTTATTAATATTCTTGCCAGCTTAAAGCAATATACAAGTCAGCTATTACTAAGAAATGTAAATAACACAACTAAATACTTAACCCAAACTCTTGTAAACAGGTTTCAAAATGTATAACTCTTTCTTGATCAGCTAATAAACAACTCAATTTGCTGTCTTGAATTTTACTTCTTTTTCTGAGGTTTCCATAAATTGCCTAAGGATATGATGTTTATTCCTTAGCCTAAAATCTAGCACTTATAGACACACTTAGGGAAGTTACATGGAATAGAAGGCAAAAAACAAAACAGTAAAGGTAAACAGAAAAGGCACTACTCTCAACATCAAAGTTAGAACTTATTTTACATCATCTATAAAATGTGTTGGATAATTCAAGACACTATCTTCACAGTGTTATTTTGAAAAACAAATTCAGATAATGCAGAAAAGACTACTGTGTAAGTTACATAATACTATTTGAAAAATAAAACTGTTAATATCCTCATCGTCGTGATCATCACTATCACACAAAAATAGTTTGGGTGTAAGTGTCACTAGTCATGTCTACATGGAACAAGATAATTAAAGCCTTCCTGTGTTAACAGTGCTGGAGTTTCACCTGCTTGGAGATGAATAAAATCCAATGTGGCATTTTTATATTTGGAAGTAGAAGGGAGACAGGTAAAAGAACCAAGGTTAAGAATATACTGCACAAAGCAGAGAGATAACATTATCTTCTTGCTGATTTGTTAACTCAACTTAGTCTTAGCAACAAGAGCAATGGATGCAGAAGGTACCTTAGAGGATTCACAGAAGGTATAAATAAGGAAAAGAAGTCAGTAAGGAAGACAAAAGAAAAACCATCAGAAAAGTAAGAATCAATAATACAATATTAAGAAAGTCAAGAAAATGGGGGAATTAAGGCATAAGTAGTAAGAGAAGGGAGCTTCCCTGGTGCTGCCTGCCAAGGCTGCAGATGCGGGTTCGATCCCTAGGTTGGGAAGATCCCTTGGAGAATGAAATGGCAACCTACTTCAATTTTCTTGCCTGGGAAATCCCATGGACAGAGGAGCCTGGTAGACTACAGTCTATGGGGTTGCAAAGAGTCAGACACGAATTACCGACTAAACAAGAACAAAACTAAAGAGAAGGCTGAGAAAAGGCTGTAAGAAAGATTCAACCAGGAAAAGGCCATAAATGTTCTAAGATCACATTCCGTGGAGAGGTCAGATTCAAACTCAGGATGCAGACAATGATGATATAACAAATTTAGACTGATCACCTCTCTCACTGGTCTAAGTACTCAATATGATTGTTGTCATTTAATGTCCCAACAAGCCTGCGAGATAAGTATTTTACAGATGAGGAAACTGAGACTTTGAAACCTGTTCAGGATCATATAGCAATTACAAGGGGTTGGTTTTGATCCCTGCCCTAACTCCAAAGTCAGTCCTTCCAGGATGCCAGGCTGGGTTTAGACATGATCCTGGTTGTAGGAAAGGAATAGCAGGGTCAAAGAAAGTTTGATTATTTTTTGTCTGTTTTTGCTGTTGTTTTAAAGAGAACACTGTGTTTGTAAGTGTCAGTGATGAAAATCCCTTAGGATCTGGAGTCAGAAAACCTGGTGCCGGTCCAGCCTCTGTCACTACTATCGCCAGCTTACTGCTAACCTCTACAAATGCTTTCCTTATGGCAAATGAAACGGGGACAGTGACATGATGCAGGACCTGCACGGACTACAACTTCAGAGGGCAGTGGCAAGATTCTAATGAGAAAACAGATGGGAAAGGACGGTGTGGAGTGCAACAGTGTGGGGCTGAAGGGGTTAAGGTGGTTTGGTCTTCATTGTGGAGAAAGAGATGAGATGCACATGAAACATGGTCTCTATCTCCAGGAGAGGACAGGTGTGAATAAGGTGTGGCTTTTGTGCTGGGGAGTCATAACTACGAGGAAGACTTTTGACAAGCGCACTAGAGGACCAGGCTGAAGCCAGACAATATAAATCAGATGCCTGCAGACTTTTTTCTCTCCCTGTAAGATTATTCTGCCTTCTGATTCTACAAAAAGCTTAGGAGTTGTAGTACTGGTTTTAATGTTTATCTCCACCTTCTCATTTTATTAGAAGTGACCCTTTTCATACCTTCTGCTTTCACCTTAGTTTCTCTTTCCATTTCTTTCTATTCTGATCAAAGTCTGATTCTATTCAATGCTCTGACATCAGAGTCAAGAAGTAAATGGAGATTTAGTGTTTGCCACAACAAAAATGGGTCTTTTCTCCTGTTTTCCATTTACTTTAAATGTTGCCCCTTTCATGTAACTGCAACGTGTTTCAACCTCCGTATTCAGCATTTGGCATGTGCCACAATTGTTATACTGAAATATCATAGTAGAAACGGATGCTCTAAAGACCTCTGCATTTGACACACACGTCTCCTTGGTATATGGCTGGACATGCTTATGGTCTAGTCTCTTCTAATCCACCCTCAAAAATAAAGGCAGGTTTGCTGGGGACCCTGCCTTCAAAGATTAAAACACTTTAAATGTCACTGGACCTGTCAATAAAACATCTGCCTGCAATGTGGGAGACCTGGGTTCAGTTCCTGGTTTGGGAAGTTCCCCTGGAGAAGGAAATGGCAACCCACTCCAGTATTCTTGCCTGGAGAATCCCATGGACAGAGGAGCCTGGCGGGCTACAGTTCATGGGACTGCAAGAGTTGGACACGACTTAGCGCTATCTTTTGACATTTCAGGGACTAAAATCCAAACAATGATGGAGCAGCACAAAACTAACAACATAAAAACATATTGAAATTATAAGGGCAATGATGCAAAATATGGCTTATATCTAGGATAACTGAGGCACCATTTTCCATAATTCAAGTATTGATTAAATGGGTGTATTAAATAGCCTGAAAAGAAAAATCACAGTTTCAAAACACAAAGGCACCATCTATGCATTCAAGCTATAGATTCCAAGAAGTTAAGCTCAAAATATGTGTTTAGATGTGAGTATGAAATAAAGACTAACTGCTATTAATTCCTTGCTGATATAGCAAACTAAAAGGAGTATTTTCCTACAAATCAGCTCATGAAGTAGAGTAGGAAGGAATTTGAAAGTAGGTGATAATAATATGATTTGAAATTGTAATTATCTGACTGCTTAGAGATACTAGCTTAGAACATTCCTTTGAGTGACCTGACCCAGGGTTACCATGGTGTTTTGAAGATCTACTTTATCTTTAGTGACTGGAAACTCCTCCACTCTGCCTTGTATTTTCTCATTTTGCAAGGAAATTTTTAAAGATTTAAGGAAGAATCTACTTCTATGTTTAGTGTCCCTATATTTAATTATGTGCCTATATTTAATCAAGTTATTTTCTTTTAAAAGGGGCCACTAGTAATATGGAAAGTAATATTTGATATTCTGACCAAAACTGCAGAAACACACTTAAACTGAATCAACCCACTATATGGCATAATAAGTTCAGGCTATCCAATAACAGTAGAACAACTATGTCCTCCAGGGTCTACTTATCAGTCTGCCCCTCAAATAAGGGAGAGTTATTTAGGAAACCTGTTTCAGGTGGTTTGTTTTAAGAAGAATTCTCCTGAAAAGTATGTAGCATTCATTTTTATAATACTATTAGTTGTTCTTGGAAAAAGAGAATTTTTCATACCATCTTTTAAAAGTGAGAAGCTGCTTTTGGAGCAAGCTAATTTGACCATGGGTCAAAAATAAGTTGGGTATTTACCAATGTGACTGAAGGAATGCTCTCTGACATTCTTAGCACTGGAGTGGCGATCTCATTCTCAATGTCTGAGCTTTAAAGATCAAATTTAAGAGTTAGCTTTCTCAGAATCATTCAGTAAGGTTTTAGTTCAGCATCATCCAAAAGAAATACAATGCAAACTTCACACACAATTAAGATTTTTTCAGTGGCCACATTAAAAAGAAGCAGGTGAAATTTAACATAGTCTATGCAATCCAATATATCCAAAGTAGTATTATTTCAACATATAGTCACATTAAAAAGTACTAATGAAATATGTTACATTCTCTTTGTGTACTAAGTCTTTAAGATCCAGTGTGTTTTATTCTTATAGGACATCGCAATTAGGAGCAGTCACATTTCAAGTGCTCAGTAGCCGCATGTGGCTAGTGGCTAACAAACTGGAATGGTGCAGCTCTGGATAGATTGACTTGATTTAATTCTTATCCTCTCTCAACTGTGAGTTCGTCTGAATATCTTACACAGCCATTTGTAAAGTCATTCAGTCATTCCAAAAAGAATCTAAACTCAAACACATTTAAAAAAAATTGAAGTATAGTTAATTTATGTTATGTTAGAGTCATACAGCAAAGCTATTCAGTTATACATATATGTATGTGTGTGTATATTTATTTCTTTTTCAGATTCTTTTCTATTATAAGCTATTACAACATACTGAATATAGTTCCCTGTGCTATACAGTTGGTCTCTGTTATCTATTTTATATATAGTAGTGTGTATCTGCTAATCCCAAGCGCCTAATTTATCTCTTCCCCTGCACCCTGTTATCCGCTTTAGTAACCATAAATTTGTCTTCTATGTCTGTAAGTCTATTTCCAAACAGATGTGTTTTTAAAAAGCACTTCCACAGAAGGAAACGACAGCTTTTAGTAACCCAAATCCATCACTTAATGACTAAATCTGGAATTTCTTCACTATTGTTAATCAAAACCTTTACTGGTTTCAGTTCAGTTCAGTTCAGTCGCTCAGTCATGTCCGACTCTTTGCAACCCCATGGATTGCAGCATGCCAGGCTTCCCTGTCCATCACCAACTCCCAGAGTTTGCTCAAACTCAT